TAGGGTGTTTGGCGACCCGAGGAAAGTTGTCGCGCATGTCCTTGGACGGCGCCTACCGAACCGGATAGCGCGAATTCGTAAGATAGGGCGCGCAAAGGATCGTTCTGCGACATTGAGGTGCAGGCGAAGTTGCTCACGTCGAAGCTGGGATCTAATGCGGAGCCGTAGTTGATGCCGAGGTCTTCGAATATTTCGTGTTCTCCGTTGATGTCTGTTCTGATGTCAGCCACATGTTTTGAGGCATACAGGAATAGATTTCACATACTCTTTATTGGAGTTTGGCAGTTGATGCCATGTGCTTTCTTGAACAAATTCAGCCATTCGGGGTTATCCGCAGACGTTTGGTTCCATGGATCATCGTCATCGTAGAGGATACGACGTGACTCTGCTTGCAACACCTCGTCGGTCAAGGTTGCGGAACCATGCTTTGCGATTTGTTCTCGTGCGAAACGGCCCAGTTGTAGTGTGAGGATCTCCCAGCAGGTTGCGTTCGGGTTGTCAACGGGGGACTTGGAAGGAGAATAGTCTTTTGGTGTCGTCAGGACGATGGGTCCAATAGTGGAGGGATCACTGCCAGGTTGGTATGCCGCAGACACGTTGTTCGTGTAGTCGATGTCATCAACGTTGGGTAAAAGGTATTCAAGGTCCTTACTATCAACGGACAGATTAAGCTGCTGTTGACAAGTCAGCCTGTTGTGCGCAGTCCACATGATCGCCACGATGGTACGTACCTTGAGGCTCGCAGTGTTGGATGCTGAGAACGGGAATGGCGATTTGCTTTCGTTGGCGATGAGATAGGGTGGCATCGCGTTCGTGACATGGATGGCGACATGAGGGTCTAAGCCCCTGCATCCCTTCCAGTTCTTCATGTGTGCGCCGTTGCGGAACTCTTTCGCCAAATGGTCGAGGCGGTCTTGCCACTTGTCAAAGTTCATCCCGCAAAAGCCACAACGAGATTTGATGTATTGGGCTTCCGACTTCCATGTGTCCATACTGGAGGTCATCTTGCAACCGTGCATGAGTCGTAAGTGTTGTCGAAGATGGTCTTTCCGGTAGAAGGTTCGGGACTCTGGGCCCTTCTCGTAACAGGCAGAGTGGTTGTGCGTGGCCAGATGCTCTTTGCTGGGATCTAGCTCATCACAGTATACGCATCGGGGCTTTCCGGTTGCTTTGTCGGCGACAATCTCACCCAGAGGTGCACATAACCACTTCTCCAATGACAAGTGGAGACTTTTCTCGTGCCGTGACCTGTACTCTGTCAGCTTGTTGTCTCTTCTTATACTTGGCCTCCGCATAATATCCCAGGTGTAGTGACAGAGAAAGATAAAGATCACGCGACGAGAACGTGGGATGACGGAAGGACGACGATGCGACCAAAAAGGCCTTGACTTGATGTTGAAGAAATTTGTCGGCTTCAGAGTGGCCGATGCATCGCGAGAATGCAGGAACAAACTCACCAATCGTATTTGGACTTGAATGTGTCAGTGCAGAACGTGCACTGAAAGATACGTTGCCCTTCGTCAGGACCAGCTTTTGGCGCTCGCGTGGGAATGCGACGACGCCTTCGCCTTTCCTTAGACTTCAAGCTGTTCAACGAGCCGAGGGAGTGACGCGAACCATGCGAGTAGGCTGATTGGTGAGATCCAAAGGAGCCAGACGACACGTTGGTAGGGCGGGTCTCCAATGAGGAGATAGATGGTGCTCTGAATACAGAGAAGCTTCCGGTGCTATCATTAGAGATATCCTTGCGATAGCTACTACTCGAGCTCTCCGCTTGAGGCAGGTCGAAAGTCTCAACAGCGTGCGCGATAGCGTTCATCGGCGCAGGTTCGTTCTCAGGAGGAGAGTGCTTCCATCGTTCGAACGGATCTGTCGAGAGTTAACCGAAACATTCCTGCTGCTGAAGCACCGGCATTTGAGCCATTGTGCTAGTGTCTGGGTCCCTGTCTCTATCCTCTGAACGCCTGTCACCCACACGAAAAGTGATGAACTTTCCGGTGGATGACGAAGCCAGAGTTTTGTGCGATCTTGTGAAACCAGACTCGGAATACGTACTCATGCTTTCCCAGGTCTTGCCTGCTGGGATGTTGATAGCTCCTGTTGATGGTCGGAGACTTGGCGAAGCGCTCCGCTTGGGTCGAGACTTCTGCCTTCGCCTTGTGTTCGCCATCCAGTTCGAGATTTGACCGACCGATAGGCCAGTCTCTTGCTTCAGCGTCTCCTTCTCCTCGTCGGTCGGGTATGGATGATCGATATGCATGAGCATCCAGTCTTTGAGCACTTTCACAGCCGCTCGTGGAAAGCGAGCAGCTGCGGCACCCTTCTTGGGACCTTCGTCATCCTCTTTTCCATCTTCGATCGGACCGAGGTGACCTAGCGATCGCATCTGCTTCTTACCAGTGAGACCACCGACATGTCGGATGTCGTTCTCTGCCACGACGTCTAAGGTGTCCAGCGCAGTCCTCTGGCGCATACCTGGCATCCGCTCAGGGTTGCTGAAGCTGCATGGTCGAAACAAAGCGTTGCATGGCGAACATCCGGATCGCTTGGAGCCATCGGCGTTGAAGATAAAGCATTCGAGAGATTTCGATCGACAGTACTCGCAAGGCTGGACAGCCTTTTGATAAGTCGGAAGCCAGCTGCTGAAGTTCGTATTGAACTCTGCACTTGCGGGTGGGATACTGTCGGAGTTCTCCAGCTCTCCAGATTCATCCAGTAAAGAGCTAGTTGGTGTCAGAACCATACACGCAGATCTTGGAAAATTTAAACCGCTATCCTTGCTATTCTGCAAGTATACAAGTTTGAGGTCGGAGTATATGACCGGATATGATACACGGGACACTCACTTCTGGGGTAGTACCGTCTCAGATACGCCGAAAGAAGCTTCTTGTGACGCGTTGGGCAAGCCTGTTTCTCCGAAATCGACAAAGTCTGCCATATCAAAGGCGGCACTAGGCGTCGCCATGATGGTGGCGCGTGGTCCGGCTTGCAAGATCAATCAATCGTATTGGTTGGTGCCAATGGCTCGTGAGGGGAAAGAAGACAAATGCGCGCCCTCCGTACAGATTTGACAATAAGGCGCAAGATGTCGTTGCGGAAGTATGGTTGCTAAGTATGACTGCTGGCTTGGACTCATCTTTAGGACCATGCCCAAGAAAGCACTGCACACTTTCTACAGACGCTAAACCGTATTCTGAAGGATGTCGAGTTGAAGGGCGCAGTCCGTGCGCGTGCAGGATACAGATTAGCCAGTCTTGAGCGGCCTAGTCATCCGATAGAGAACGCGTTCGTACCGCTGAGTCATTAGCATGGCATTGCGGTGTTGGACACTCGATGCGGAGACTGGAGGTGAACAATTGAACAGGACGTATGTACAACTTGATGGAGGTCGACGTTGTTTTAAAGTCTCCTACACAGTTTTGCGAGGATGTGAGACGTTGCGACAGTCCAACAATACAAAGACGCGAATATTACCGGGCTATTGAACCCCAGCAAAGCTGAAGCTGACATACCCCACATCGGTTCTGCGCGATGTACGAGCCTAGCGGAAGTCATCCTCTAGCTCTTGTGGCAGGTTTGCCATTGGTCGTCGAGAATCTAGAAGATAGCAGACCGTTTGGGCGCACTGCACGGTGGAATGGGGTGCCGCTCCAGGCTCGGAAGACTTCGCGGAGGATGCGAAATCGGCAACCGCAGCCGTCACGTATCGGAATATGCACGCCATGCAGCAAGCGGTCAACTGGCACCGTTCATCGGAGGTTTGCGAAGGTCGGCGAAAATTTGAACGTCGGGACCGAAGGATTGGCGGCTGTTCGGGAGGACTTGACCCGTCCAGTACGCGGAGGCTGTCGTCTTAAATAGGGCCCAGGCGGTAGAACGTGATGATGGTTGTGAACTGACGTCTACAGAAGCGCATGAAGTTTCTCGTTGTTCTCACGGATGAAAGAAGCTAGCTTTGGCAAGAGTGACGCGTGACGTCACGAAGCCTGCCGTGTTAGGGAGGCACCTACAGAACATAACAACAGAACATTTGCCAGGCTTAGTCGTTGACAAACGTATCGAAGTTGCTCTTCTTCTTTGAAGCTGTGCATGACTTCTGCAGACTTCATCTCACTCACTCAAAGTACGGGCATTCCACGCACAGGCTTCTCCATGCCCTAGGTCACCCAACCTACCTCGCGTGCCAGGGAGTCCAACCGATACGGAGCATTGACCGCCCATAGATCAGACATACATCGGAACGAGCTGAGGGTAGAACTGACGGTGAGTCGACATCGCTTATGCTTAACAGCTCAAGCAAATCGCGAATAGCGCATAGGTGACTCCCTAAAGCACCCAACCATCCGTCTCACGTTGCTTTTCAGGTACCACAACGATGCAATCACTCACATATCACGTCTCCGATAGCTTTGGATACGGAGCACACTTGCACTGGTCCTGATCGGAGAGCATCGAGGGGTCGGACAAGGCTGGAAGCGAAGGCGGGGTAACCTGATGCGAAGATCGAGTACTGACATGTGCCACGCAGACTTACAGCTCTGTACTCACGATCAAGGCTGTCCTCCATCACCATAAGACGGTGAAGCATAGTAGTCGACATGTGCCTAGCTTCCGATGGACTCCTCGGACTCTGGACTGTTATATGTAGACAGCCTTGGCATAGCGCGAGGTTGGGTGTCGAGCGGACCTTAGCGATTCTGCCAACTCATAACGCATCCGCACGTCTGTCCAATACATCAATCCACCCATAAGCTGCCCGAAGCTAGCCAGTCCCCGTCACTGGCATCCACATTGCTCGTCATGTAACATGTCACTTGTCACCGCCTGTGCCTGATTACCCAAGCGCGAGCATCCGCCTAGGGCTTGTTTTAAACCGACGATACTCCATACCGCAGCCTCACTCTGCCTCCGCAGCGAGCTCCGAGGCAGCTTCTTAACGTGTACGGCCCACTCTGGACCGACGATGATTAGCAGTGGCTCACCAATTTGCTACCCACGAAATGGATGCAGCTCCCAACTGTGCCATCTGCAATGCGCCGCCATATCCTGAATGCTCCTGCGAATCGGAGCGGCTTCAAATAGCCGTCAAGCAGGCTGAGGCGCGTGCTATGGAAGATCGCATGGCTGAGATACGGTATGATCCAGATCCGTTCCCTGCAGTACATGCTGACATTGTGTAGAGACTGGGTAATCAACAATGCGCGCCAGCATATCCTCAACGCATTCGAAAGATTGACCTCGACACGCAAGCAAGCGCACTCATCATACCTAGCTTCCCTCCCAAACTACGAGGTCTACATGCGATACTCTGGCCACCCGCCGATACACCCCATGTACGTTGCGACGTTGCAGACACAGATCGCAGAGGCGCACGCGGAACTCAAGCGCGGTATTGACGCCGACTGGCGCGCATCGGTGCTGCGATATCCAGAAGTGCTGGACTACTTCTACAGCCTTGTCGAGCTCAGACTGCCGGACGATCGCTCTCGAGAAGTCGTTGAACCACCCTTCGCCGCGGCAGGCTACGCGGATGTAGGATATGGAGTCAAACAGAAGAAGAAGAAGCGACGAGAGAGGGAGGGATCAGTGCCGCAGCAACACATGGCTCTCAGAGTGATGCGTGGAGTGCCACCTCCTGCGGTGCCGACTCCACCAATCCATCACAACGGGTCGTATCCTCGGCCGCCCGATCCCTACGGATACTAAATCACTGGACTTCTACTTTCTTTCCGTTTGTTTTCTATGCTCACTTCATAACGTCCTGTCACGTTCACCGAAACGGATGGTAGTGGGTAGTACTGCTGTTGCAGACATGAAAGGCCTTCGAGGCAATGAAGAAATAAGGAGTGGCACAGGTCGCATGTATTGGCGCCATTGAATTTGGTCGCGTTTCTGATATTGTGACCGCTCTATATTCACACGCGAAACCAAGCATAGCGAGGAGTGTTCGTTCATAGGAGTTTCATTCGCAGCGGGTACTATCAGATCTTCAACATGTACCTGAACCTGAATCTACTCCTATAGTCTATTCGAATTCAATCTAAGTTCGATGATTTCTCAGTATGATGTTGGGCGATAGCGGATAGCAAATGCCTCAGGCACCTTCCGCTACATAAGTCCGTGCACCCATGGTTTGGAAAGTCGCGACTTGAGCTTGTAGAAATCCTTAGACCCATCACCACCAACCCAACCATACATATTCCGCACGGTACCACGCGACTTACTGAATAAATTGACAGTCGCCTAAACCTGAACAACCGACCGACATATACACGCGATCGCAAACGGCGTATTCGACCGAGTCGCCCACCATGAGCGGAAAAGCAGGCGCATACGGAACGTCTGGCGGCGGCGACACAGACTTCAGGAAAACATGGGATCGCGACGAGATGGCGCAGCGGGCGAAGGACAGGGAGGCAAAAGATCGTGAAGAGGGCAAAGAGCGATATGAGGCAAAGCTGGCGGGCAAGACATACAGGCGGAGGGCGTCCACACCTGATGATCTGAAGCAGACTGAGGCAAGATCGGAGCGCATAGACTGGAGCAAGATGATCGGAAAGCAAACCCTCACATCAGCAGCAGCCGCTGTTGGCAAGAGGGGACGTGGTGCAGGCGCATACTGTCAAGCCTGCGACCTTACATTCAAGTACGTTTCTATTGTCGCAAACCTGAAACCTATGAACTATACTAACAGCCATCAGGGACAACATCCAGTACGTCGAGCATCTGAACAGCAAGCAGCATTTGGTCGCGACGGGCCAGTCGGGCGAGGTCCACCGCGCGACAGTCCACGAAGTACGGGAACGCCTACGATATCTCAAGCGCAAGCGGGACGAGGACAAGTTTATGGAGGTGACAGATCTGGATGCGAGGTTGGCCATGACCAAGGAGCAACTGGAGAAGGATGCCGAGGAGAAGAGGCGGCTGCGCAATGAGAAGCGCAGGGCGAAGAAGAAGACGGACGCGACTGCTATGGAGTGGAAGGTCGAGGGCGATGGCATCATCCGCTGAACACCATGGGCCCTCGATCCTCATACTACACTTTGGCACGAAGACCGATAAATGCGCATACTGGGGTCTACTATAGCCCACGTCCGGCTGGTCTCTTGGAACGCTCAGGCTGCGTGGTGTTCGGAGCTTGTAAGAAAGTGCCCTGCCCAGCCCTGGCGAACCGCATGCACCACTAGGCGCAGTTTTCTTCCGCCGATCCTGCGGACCTTTCATGTCAAGATTCGGTCATCATGCAACATTGTCTTCCGCCGAGCTTTCGCTCATCAGGCATCCAACCTTTCATGGCACGGAGGTCCGGGCCAAAAGGCTCGGGGATTAGGCGCACGACACCGCGGACGGCATACCCCACATATCAGCATCGCCCCTCCCAGCAACCCGAGCGTAATACATCAGCATGCTGATTTCTAAGCCCAACGCCGAGTTGCAATATTAACCATAGCAACATAAATAAACACCGTTTCTCTCAGAAGCGCTTTCTAGTTCTGCATCAGTCAAGCTTCACACTTGGCATCTCTTGTCGTATCTTCCGCGTTTTCTCCCCGCATTCTCAGCCGCATTGTCACCTAGCGCTGACATCATCTTCGACATTCTATATCAATCGCTATGGCTCAAGTCAATGGAAATGCGCCCAAAATCACGCTTTACACTAATCATCGCTGTCCTTGGGCGCATCGAGCTCATGTGGTGCTGAAGGAGTTGGGGCTTCCGTATGAGGAGGTTATCATTGATTTGGGTAAGCCGAGGGAGCCGTGGTATCTTGAGATCAACCCTGTAAGTTCAGTCTTGCTTCCATAGTGGTGTAGTACTAACATCTCCAAGCGCGGCCTCGTCCCCGCCATCAACTTCAATGGCGAAATCATCACAGAGTCCGGCGTCGTCGCAACGTTCCTGGCAGATGCGTACCCCTCACATGTCCTCCCCGCATCTGGCACCCCAGAAGCAGCTCTGACCCGAGCGAGAATCAGCTTCTTCGTCGATACCTGGTTTAGCAAGGCCGGAAGCTTCTTCTACAAGATCCTGATGTGTGACTCCAAGGAGGAGCAGGCAAAGATGAGCCAGGAGTTTGTGGATGTTGTTACCAAGGAGATCGAGCCGCTACTGAAGGACGCGAAGCCATTCTTTGGAGGTAGCCAGAAGGTCACGTTGGCTGAGGTAAGTACATTGTCAGACGATAACGAGCGACGCTAATACATAGCAGGCTCTGACGGCACCTTTCATTATCCGCACATACGCCATGGCTAAGCATGAACTGCTTCCGAAATCCATCATCTCTGACCTCGATGCACTGCCCAACTTCTCCAAGTGGGCCGCTGAGGTCAACAAGCAGGAGAGTGTGACGTACATCTGGGACGAAGAGGCGGTCATCGATGGGACAAGGAAGAGAATTGAGAGCCAGAAGGCAGCTTCCAAGTGAGCTTACACGATAGTAATCCATAAGACACGGGATGACCATAGCACGATTATAATTACGCACAAAAGATGCAGCTATCTACCTATCTACACTTTTGAGTATGATGTTTGCCAGACCGCCTGATATTGCTCATGCAGGGATGCTTGCCTGATGCTATGTATTTTCTTTCTGGTGAAGAACAAATAGGGGAAAACAACGCCGAAGAGCGACACCGAAGCGCCAATAGCGCGCCTGAAATGTCAAAAAGCCTAGCTGAATGCAAATCGCTTAACGAGTGCGCCTTGATATCTTTGAAATGAAGAAGCCAGGCTGGATGCAGGTTGCTTAACGAGTGTGCCGACGATGCGCGCTGGGAAAGCTACGAGACGTCATGGGCTGACGGAAAAGGAAAGCACCACCGGCGGTATTTTAGTCATCGATATCGCGAGGAAGGTGGGGAACACCGCTCCTAGAACCTCGAACCACAACGCGTCCGCTTCGTCGGTGGCATCGTCTTGTCTCCAGTGCAGAGCGACAACAACATCTCCGCGGCCCTGACATCATCGCGATTGTGGTCGTCGTCGCCGCCACCGGACACCTCTGAGCCGTGCGCGCTGTCCACCGTGGTGGCTGTATTGGGACGAGTGACGCGGTCGTCATAAGAGACTTTCGAATGGGTCCGTTTCGCTCGATAGCCTTCAACGTGGTACTCGTATGGAGCCGACGTCGGCGTGAGTAAACCCGGAGGCGCCTGAAAGCTGATGGGCGAGCCCAAAAGGGAAGAGCCGATTGTGCGTGGCGACCATGGAGACTGCGACCGGTTGATGGGCGTGAACTGAGTGCGAGGAGACACTTCAGGCGAGCAGAGATACTTGCCATGCCGACTAGTGTCCGTCCCATACCCGCTCTCGATATCGGTCGGTCGCGCGCGCCGTTGCATGACCATCTTCTCTTTGCGCAAGGGCGGCTCGCAGTGCATCTTCGGTGTCTCGATCAGCGACGAAGCGTCGGGCTTGGGAACAGCATACGCAGGACCAAGCTTTGCGAAACGAACCGTCTCTTGCGCGCAGAACTGCACAATGGTCGGGTCAATGAGAAATTTCGCAAAGCATGGGTCCTTCGGATGCAGACACTCGGAAGGAAAGTCGTTGCCGAATACCGGGGTGAGTGCCCATCGAATGTCGTAGCAGAATGTCGCTGCTATAGCTTTGGCTGCATGGTATGGCATCCAATAGCCTGCAAGAAGTCAGTACCCATCTCCGTATGACTGCTATTACAACTGACCTTGGCAGACTAGAGCCCCACCGGTGATACTGTAGCTGATGTCCTTCAGTCCAGGGTTCTCTCTCAACGCCTTGGCCGGTATCGTCTGCACCAGTCAGTCTCCTCTTCATCTATTGGGCTAGTCAGCAACCTACCTTTGAATACTTCAACGATTTGAAGAAAGGCGTCATGCGAACAAGACCGACATTGTAGTCCCAGACAACAGTGTACTCTTTCTCGTCGTCTGGTCTCTTGTACGTGTACTGGAACACTAATCCCAAGTCAGCATCAAGCTAGCAGGAGGATGAAGAGAACCTACTTTCAAAAGCTTCTCGTCCGGTCTTTTCATGGAAGGCCTTCTTGTCGCTGTTGTACGGGATGTGCCTTACACCTTTCCTGGATATCTCTCCCAAAGGATAGATTTGGAACCGGCGATGCTGGTGCAATAGTTCATGGTCTTCACCGGCCTCGTGTGGTGGGAAGTTGACGTTACCGACGGTTCTGTTGCCTTCTGAAAAGATTGGAGCGTCCTTCGGAATCTTTTGTCGTCTTGGCTCTGAGACTGCAGCCACTGGATATGGAGCTGGCGTCGGCGAGTTCGAACTGCGGTGGTCGTCGCGGCCACCGCAGATAGGGTTCAGCATTTGCGATATCTTCATCATAACGATAGCTTGCGAACCTTGCGGTTGATGAGACGAAGACTGTTGGTGCAGGTACTTTTCGAAAGGTACCGGTACTTGGCAGGAACGGTGGACTTGAAGACGCAAAGACCAGGTGGGAAAGCGAGACTAAGCTGCCGTGGAACGGAAAAATCGACTTGGAGTGGAGAGGGTTTGGGTGGCAGCAACGGGAAGAAGAGGCTGACGTCTTTTTCGTTTGCGAAATGCTCACGAGGACGAAATGAGCACCGTATACCTCCGGCCAGTACGGACGTGGATCGGAGGCTACCAGACGCTTGCGACAAATCTTCTTGCAATTAGCAGACGGCACCAGATACAACTGACTGTCATTGCGACGTACGTACTGAGTTCGACTGAGGAGGACCTGGGCGACGACGCGCTTGATGGGGTAGATGATGGCGAGGAGACGTGCGCTACACGTTGGTGATGACCCAATACGACAGCAGTGGCTCCGCCCAACAAACGGAATGATCCCGTGGCGATTGGATGGACCTCGTGTGGTATCCAACGGACACTTTGCTCGGCTATCGCAACAGTACCAGTCGACCAGTCACTTTGACAGCGAAGTCAGCAAGTGTCAAGAAGAGGCGATCGTGCAGATGCTGTCGACCAAGATGAGATGCAAGTCTTACCAAGAGTAGGGAAACGAACCAGGTTATCCTCTCGGGAGAGCTTTCGGCTAATGTCACTAAGGAGGACGGTATCCTGGGGCAAGGTACTTGTGCTGTACACGGCTTCTTAACGGGTCAACTCATGCCTTCACTTCGGCCCGCTAGTTGCTCAGTCCTGGCGACGCACTTCGCCAAAGCTTGTCCAAGCGCCTTGCAGACTACGTCCGGTGTGTAAGTGGACCAGCGTCCACACTACATGGCTTGCCAGGTTACGACGTGGTGGATCCATTCATTGGACCAAACGGCCGTTGCCGAAAGCAAGTGCTGGGATCTGAACAATGCGATAGTGAAAGAGGGATCGAGGGGATAGCGTCGTACGGCATCAAACACAACATCCGCCCTGAACCCTGCATCTGCACCAGGGCATACATGAGTTCCTTTGTCGAGAGGACATATGCGCCGACCAAAACATTTCCAATGAGCTCGCGGACGTGCGAGCTGGCAGCGCTGAGCAGCTCAGCAACTCTTCAGCCACCGGCGGTATCAGCGGAGGACGTGGCATTTTGTGCTTCCTGATTGGCACCTATACATATCTCCAGACGGAACATGGCTTTTGGGAGGCTAGTCCATCGCTACGTCCATACCAGCGGTATCCGCTGCTGAAGGTACCTGGCAATCGTACCACCACGCCGCATGTACCTGGTCAGTCCGTACGAGTGGCATGCTCAGACTGGAATTGTTCCCGTGCAATCCTTCTGAGAACACCAGATTATTCTGGCATACTCCCTGTCGGCCTGGCATGAAAGGACCGGATCGGTGCAATGTTTACCTGCAGCGTCCCGTGGAAGTACGGCGCACGTCCCTCCTACCTTTCGTTGCAAACGTGGCCCAATTCCTCACGTATCTCGGATATCTGCACAATTGCAACTCCGTTGGAACCTGTCATTGGTGCACACACTGTCGGTGTGTGTTCAGCCTTGCTCCCGTTGGCGATACTCGAGATACGGTATACAGCATAGACACTGCTGGCTTGTCTCTGCAACAACAATCTGTCTA